AAGAGGCTGCGGTGAGGAGTCGGTATATCCTGGCGTGGAAAGGTCCATAGGAGCCCTTTGGGTTTTCTTGAGACCGGACTCTGTGTGTGTGTGTGTGTGTGTGTGTGTGTGTGTGTGTGTGTGTGCGCGCGCGCGCGCGCGCAGCGGGGCGGGAGGACCTGGTTATTCCTGTGTTCTTTTCATCTGACTCCTGAACTTGGATCTTAGCTCTAAGATCCCAAGATAAATGCCTTTGGGCCCCTCCCGGAGTGCTTGGCACAGGGCCAATTAAACTCTTCAGCCCTACGAGGAACTTTTTGGAAAGATGAGAAGGAAGAAATCCCCGTGGGCTAGAAGAAGCTGGCATGGTCCCAGGATTTCAGCCCAAGTTGGAAGATTCGCCCAACCCGATGCTACAGTTGCCAGCAGGCCATCCCTCCTTCCTCTTTCACCCTCCTTCCTCTCCCTTCCTCAATCTGATTTGGAAAACTGAGCCATTGGGCTCAGCGGTCCCAGGGTGGCTGTGCCCCTCTCGAAATGTGAACTTTCTTTGAATGGAGCCCCTGAGCCAGTGCCAAGTTCATGGCTGAAGGTTCCAGGGATCTGCTTCTGCAGCTCGCACAGACACATACACTTGCCCATACCACAAACTGGCGCAGACACACAATGAATACACATACATATACAACCTAGATACACATACACACTGGCTTGAGCTCAGAACCAAAGCTGAGCCTGGAAATGAGCGAAGAGGGCTCTTGGATAGGAATATATTGGAGGAAAACGCATCTGCATTTAGTGTCGGGAGCCTGATGTCGCGTTCCTCTGTCTGTCCTCTACTTGGGCCTTTGTTTGAAGGTTTCATTGTAAGTTGTGGGTTCTTTCACAACTGCAGAAACAAATTACAGCCTTCCAGAGGTAAGGCACCTTCATTTCCTCAGAGCTGTATAGTTAAATACACCATGTATTTGGAGCAAGAGAGCCTGACTGGGGTTTAAAGCCCAGTTCTGTCTTTTAACCACTTCGTCTGTGACCTCGGACCTCACCTCTCTGGGCCTCGGTGTTCTCACATGCTCAAAAAAGTAGGGCAAACTAGATTATATTTAACGTCCCTTCCAACTCTAAAACTTACGAATTTATTTTTGGAAAAAAGTCTCTTTGCCTCTTTCTTGAGAGAGGCTTTGAGAAATTCTATCTGAAAGAAGCTCCACCTCTTCTCCTCCTCCTCCTCCTCTCCTCCTCCTCCTCCTTCTTCTTCTTTTCTCTCTCCTCTCTCCTCTCTCTCTCTCTCTCTCTCTCTCTCTCTCTCTCTCTCTCTCTCTGTCTCTCTCTCTCTCTCTCTCTCTGTCTCTCTCTCTCTCTCTCTCTCTCTCTCTCTCCTCTCTTCCCTTTCTTCTCCTGATGCTCCCCTCCAAAAAACTGGGAAAGCAACTCAATCTGTCAATTCCCATCTATCCCAAACTCTGAATACTGCGCTGGCGCGCGGCACACTACCCTTTGGGAGGGAAACTTAGTGTCATCAGCAAATTGGGGGAAAGGTAAAAGACTCGTGATCCGTGGACGATTTAGGGAGACCCCTGTTTTCATGCGGCAGATTCTTCCATCCTAAATTTGCTTCGGGGCATACCCTCTTGACTAGAGAGAAAGACATAATTTGAGAAGGTTTGGTTTCGATGCCGGCAAAGACATGTCTCTAGTAAAGGTATGTCAAAGCAGTACATTGCGCTGCTCCATCTGGATTCCTCCACCTCTGCAGATATATCCTGCGCAGGAGTTCTGTCAGAAAGCCACTTTTTCCTCTGATCCTACCGCGGGAACCGGCTCTGTCTATCTGATTGAGCAAAGCAATTTGCAATTAGCATGATTCGTTTCATTTTCCCTACCACAACTCCTTTTTGGTGTCTGATTTAAATTTCACATCAGTGCTAGGCAATAAGAGGCTACTCTTTAAAAAAAAAATGTGAGTTTTTCAAATGTAGAAAATAGATATGGAAATGCATCCATCTAGATAAAGTGTAGTCGTCTCCCCCACCAACTAGGCCCCGATATTCCTTCAATCCAAACTGAAAAGAAATGTTCTCAATTAGAAGAGAGGAAGGGAAGGGAGGATGGGAGGAAGGAAGAAAGAAAGAAAGAAAAGGAAAGAAAGAAAGAAAGAAAAAGAAAGAAAGGAAGAAAGAAAGAAAGGAAGGAAGAAAGAAAGAAAGAAAGAAAGAAAGAAAGAAAGAAAGAAAGAAAGAAAGAAAGAAAGAAAGAAAGAAAGAAAGAAAGAAAGAAAGAAAGAAAGAAAGAAAGAAAGGACGGCGGGAGGAGGCGGGAGGAGGAGGGAGGAAAAGTAATAGATCAGGACCCAGGTGAATCTTTGACGATAGAGCGGAGCCCCCAGGGTGACTTAGTGAAACTTTGTGTACTGAGTCAGGAAACTGACACATTTGACTTAATGATACTAGTTTCCGAATAGTCCGACGAAAATCTAATTTATACGCATGTATATAAATATATATTGATTATGAAAAGTGTCAGCTAAATAAAGTGATCCCAATAGACAATTGCTCATTTGCGCAGTATGATAAAAATATAATTGCTCATCTTTCCAAAAGAATTACTTGAATGCTTCGTTCTGCAAGAAAGTCTATTCAAGCGATGAAGGAAAGGGGCAAGCGAGTGACCTCCTTAGGTTCTTTTCGGACACAGTAGCTTTGACCTTGCCCTTGGACGAAGAACCACGGAGCTGTCGCTGCCCCCTCCCCCCCTTTTTTTTCTCTTAAAGATCTAGCGCCAACACCCTTTGCTCTATAAGTTCAGGATGCAAAAAGCATTTGTTCCAATGCTCCCTTTCTCCTCCCAGGCATCGCTAACGGGTCCACAGATGTGCCACTAATTTTATCAACCGATTAGGCACAGCGTCTTAAAGCACGGAAACTCTTGATCTCTACGAGGACCTTCCTCTTCCGGTGGGGCCTCAATTTGCACCAGTGAAATTGTAGGGTCTTCATTAATGTCTCCTTTAGATCTCGACGCTCCTTAGAGTGAAAAGTCCCAGGGCCCTGCTTGTCAGGGGTTCCCTGATTGGTGTAGTTTTCCCTCTCTAGCCCCACCTCGAGATCTTTTTTCTGCTTCTTCAAAGCCAAGGAAACCGCACAGACACAGAAGGGCAGGTTGTGTGATGCAAACAGGCAACAGCTGTAGATCCCGGACCTGCAGTTCCCAAAGTCCAGCACTGCCCTCATCCTTCTTTAGTTTTTCCCCACTTCTGGCTCACTCGTCCAAGGTTTTCCACCTCCTCTCCCCATTCCTTTGTTGTCCCTCTCTCAATCCTTAAATGAAACACCACCAGCACCAGCACCAACACCACCATCACTACCACCACCACCAAACCATATGTGTAGGGAGGTAGGGGACAGTAGGGAAGGCTCCTGTATAGCTCCATACACCCACTCCTCTCATAAGTGCTCAAACTTTCCAAGAGAACAAACTTACTTGCTCATCGAGACCCAAAGACTATTCTTCCAGGCCTCTTAAACTTATTACAGAAATTTTAAAAACAAATGTTGTTTTCTCTCCAGAAATTAAAATGATTCTATGAACCGTCTTGTTTAAAGCCTTTATACTAGAAAAATGCAAGGTGAGGTAGGGGACATTTTTCTTAAAATAGCTCAGGTGTAAAGTTCTGGAGCCTTGGATCTGGAATGCATTTTTGTCTTCTCCCACAACTAATATGACTTAGTGTTGTATAACATGTCCAAACCTTCTAGGAGTGATTTCTATTATTCTTTTCCTTCCCTAATTCTCCCCTATTTACCCTTGACTTAAGTTTCCATTTTTTTAGAGGTTCCTTTTCAAAAAAGAGATAATTACACATTTTGAGAATTTTCTCAGTTAATTCTTTTTTAAGAAATGGCAGTATAGCTATAATCTTAGATAGACAGACATAGATAGATAGATAGATAGATAGATAGATAGATAGATAGATAGATAGATAGATAGATAGATAGATTGAGGAGAAATACAAGACACCCAGAAACAAAGAATAGAAAACTCACAGCAGCTTCTGGGACTACCAAAGGAGTTATCAGTATCCAGAGAACTGGGTCCATTTGCCTGTACAAATTCCTTATTAGAAGATGGGGAAGGGGAGTAATAAACAGAAGATCAATATGAGGAAAAGAAAAAAGAGCAGAACCTATTTTCTAGAAAATGGTTAAAAAAAGACTTAAAAAAAGAACTCCCCAAAGCGATAGCAACACACCACCGAAGCCCTGATTCACTCCTTGTTGCTCAAACCTTTCAAACCTGTACCTCTTTTACCCACTAGACAGTTCCCCAAAACTGTCCGCTGGTAGAGGAGATAACCTGTTTTTGTTTCGTGCTCGTATTTATTTGTTTTTTTAAATTTCAATCGCAATAGAGTGATCCAGTCCCCTCCAATTTTCCTTTTTTTTGTCTTTGGTGTGTTACGTGTGATTTGGCTCAGGGAAATTGGAAATGGGACCGAGAGAAATGGGAAAGGAGGGAGATAAAAAATAAAAACTCAGAAGAAGGCGTGAACGCAGAGCGGTGAGTGTGTCAATCAAAGGGTTTTGTGTCTCCTTGGCTCCTGACGGTCCATAGCAGAGGTGTCCCAGGGTGGCACCACAATGAATATGAATAGGAGTCCTTGCTAAATGGGACAGTCAAAGCGCACCGCCCTGAATGATGGCACGTCATCCTAACCAGACCAGTATAGATAGGAGGGCTCCTTTTGTCTCTTTTCTCTGCGGCAGCTCTATAAAAGCCCCTCTTTTTCAGCGTGAGGTTAGTTCAAGCACACACCAACTAGCTCTCCAGGAAAGACTGACTAACCAGAGAGAGGGGAGGGAGAGAAGAGGGGGAAGAGTTCCCTCCGTTTTTCTTCTGTCTTGCAGCGGAGAAGTGGGTTCTTGTGTAGTTCGGATTTAAAAAAAAAAAACTGATTTGCTTTGCTTTGATTCCCATCTTCTCACCTAAAAAGCCTCCTGATAGCAGGGATCCCCTCTAATAAAATGAATTCTGACTCAAGCTCTATCTCCAGCAGAGCTTCCTCTCCGGACATGGATGAGATGTACCTGAGAGACCATCATCACCATCACCACCATCACCACCAGGATAGCCGCCTCAACTCGGTCTCCTCCACCCAGGGGGACCTGGTGCAGAAGATGTCTGGGGAAGGCCTCTCCCGCAGCGGATCTAAAGCCGGAGGCGAGAGCAGCAAATACAAAATCAAAAAGCAGCTCTCAGAGCAGGACCTGCAGCAGCTCCGACTGAAGATCAACGGAAGGGAGCGCAAGAGGATGCATGACCTAAACCTTGCTATGGACGGACTTCGAGAGGTCATGCCCTACGCTCACGGGCCCTCCGTCAGAAAGCTTTCCAAAATCGCCACACTCCTGCTGGCCAGAAACTACATCCTGATGCTCACCAGCTCCCTGGAGGAGATGAAGAGGTTGGTGGGCGAGATCTATGGGGGGCATCACTCCGCTTTCCACTGCGGGACTGTGGGGCACTCTGCGGGGCACCCAACCCACGCGGCCAATGCTGTGCACCAGGTGCACCCCATTCTAGGTAGCGCTCTCTCTTCCACCAACACCTCTTCACCACTCTCAGCGTCCCTCCCCGGGATTGGTACCATCCGGCCGCCCCACTCTCTGCTCAAAGCCCCCTCCACACCTCCGGCCCTGCAGTTGGGCAGCGGCTTCCAGCACTGGGCCGGACTGCCGTGCCCCTGCACTATATGTCAGATGCCCCCGCCGCCTCACCTGTCCGCCCTCACCACGGCCAACATGGCCCGCCTGTCCGCGGAATCCAAGGACTTGCTCAAGTGACCCATGGCCCCCAAACTGGAGAGGATTCAAGAAAGAGGCGGGGTGGGGAGCGAGCGATGACTGGAGGCGCAGGAGAGACCCTGAACCTCGGACGCCCTTTGAGATGCCAGAGAAAACACTTTAAACTGGGGAGGGGGGAACAAATCTACCCGTGGTGGTGTAGGGATTCGAACAAGACGTCCTGTGTTTGCATGCATGCTTCTTTTTGCCATTGAAGCCACTTCCCACATGCTCTTGTCAAAACTGCATTTGTTGTATAAACAGGGATGAGGGTAGTGAAAAAAAAATCGCCCTTCAAAAGGTAATGTCCTAGTTGGATCCTCAGGCTCTGTTTTCTTACTTTGGGGGGTGGGGGGTGGGGAGAAATAGAAATACCCCTAATGTGAAAAGGCAATGTATATATTTCATTGAAATGGATGAAATTCTGATCATTACTGTACGTACTATCCGCAGGTTCCTAGACTTCCTTTAAAACTAAACTCAGTTTCGGGATCTCTTCCTCTGCGGGGTCCAGGGCTTGACTTCTTAGTGGATGCTCCTTTGAACTTAGGTCAAAAGAATGCTTGCATGCTTCTCAATGAATCTCGTTTATTATGTCCTGGCCTTGGTGCCTCGCTCCTTGTAGCAAGGATTTACTAGTGAATTCTCCGAAGTATTCCATAGTCTCGTCTGTGGCAGTTTGAAACGAAAACGGAGGTATCTAGTGCCAAAAGCTCACACTCTTGAGCACTCACGCACACCCTCCCCCCTGTCCCTCTTCCTCTCTCCGACGGAATATGAATTCTGCTGGCAGTTCTAGGCGCAGGCATTTCAGCCGCCTGGAAGTCCCCCACCCCACCTCGCATTCGCACTCCCACCCCTCCTTGGCCCTATCTCCCTTGCTCAGCTCTTGTGCATGCAGGGTCGGCTCTGACAGGAGAGCAATCGGTATTATCAGATGTTAAAACATTGGGGTGTTTGATTCATTTTGTGTTGTTTTAAGGGGGCTGGAGTTCTGTTTGGTTTGGTTTTCCTGGGCATTTGCTTGAAAGATTTTGTTAGGGCCTCAAAGACAATGCGTGTCTTTATTTTTTATATATTCTTGATAACTATGGATATATTTATTATTGGCCAGTGTTTCTGGATGAGATTTCAAATAAAATGAAAAAAAAAAACCTTTAAAATTCTGACTTTGCCTTTGCCTTAAATTTTAGGAAAAGGGGACAAGATAAAGGTAGAAAGAGTGTGTTCTTTCTGTGGGGAAGAGGTGAGTGAAGGGGTTATAATTTCTCTAATTCCATGAAGGGAATGAAAACATTTGTACAGAGGGAACTGGTAGTAGATTAACTCTCCGACTACTAAGATACATATATATATATATATATATATACATATACACACACACATACATACACACATATACACACATACACATATATAACCCCACAAGTAACAAAAATATGCATTGTATTATATATGTACATATACATATACATAAATATATATCATCTCTCTCTGTGTTATATAATCCTAAATTTCCTTATGCACATTGTTTTAAGACTCTCTTTTGTGATCTAATACTGTGAGTTTTTTCTGTCCCCACAGTAAGCAAGGTTGCCACCTCATCAAATAGAAAAAAAAAATAAACTGGAGTACTAAAGTGACAGAAATAAAAGACAGAATGGCAAATATGGGACCCTGTGCTGACAACCAACAGAGAAAACAAACAAACAAAGCTGTAAGTAACTTTTTTCTACTTTAAAGCTGATGCTTCAGATTGGAACTCCAGTCTGTAGTGTTTTCCCTCAATTTAAAAATTAATTCATATTTTTAGAACTGTAACACCCCCACACTCATACCTCCTACCAATCCACTCCCACCCCCAGCAGCTTATTCTCCTGAGAAAAGAGAATAAAGCTCCCCTTTGTAAATGATGTTCTGGGGTTAATTCTAATGACCACAGAAGCCACCTAGTTCCCCTGTCTTGTAGATTTATAGCAGGAATCTAACTTCTTTTCCCCCTCCCATTGAGAGCCTGGAGGGCAAAATAAGAGGTAGCTGCCTTCTGTGAAGGGAATAGCCAAATAGTGTGCATTTAAATGTTGTTTTCCTTCTGAACAATTTCCTCTTTCCTCCCACCTTCCTTTTTTATCAGTTTTTTTTCTTTTAATAAAGGTAGAGAGGGAGCTTTACTTGGGGAATGATTTTTAGAGACTTAAGGAAATATAGAGATAATGTTCATTGAATATTGCACAGTTGACACCTTTCCCTGCTTCCCACTGAAATTCTCACTTAAATTTCATGGAATATTCCCCGATAAATTCAGGATGACATAAAAATAATATTCTCTCTCTCTCTCTCTCTCTCACTCTCTCTCTCTCTCTTTCTCTCTGTCTCTCCTTCTCTCTGTCTCTCTCTCCTCTTCTCTCCTCTCCTCTCCTTTCCTCTCCTTCTTTTCCCTCCTCTCCTTTTCCCTCCTGTCCTTTTCCCTCCTCTCCTCTCCCCTCCTCTTCTCTCCCTTCCTCTTCACTCTGTAGAACTTTCTCCCCACTTTCCCTGCCCTATTAAGACTTCCATGCAAGATGATGGAATTGCTACAGAAAAAAAGCTTACATGTAAGACTTTTTTTATTCCTTTCCTTTCCTCTCTTCTTTTCTTTTCTTTCTTTTTTCTTTCTTTCTTTACTTTTAATTTAATAAGAAAGTGACACAGATTTCAGAGAAACCAAAGGATGTCTGCATTGATGTGGGTCTGAAGGTCTCCGGCTTCCCTACCAATCCCAAAGGCTGCCTGTGGAGTCAGTGGGACGGGGTGAAGGATGTAGCGAGTACTGGAGGTGGAAGAAAGGGGGAGAGTATCCATTGGGTTTAGACAGACAAATAGGGGAATAATAGTCTGTTTCCCTTGGGTGATTCATTTCACTGGGTGAGGAAGGAGCTGCTGAGGATTTATTTGAAACAAGCACAAGGCAACCACAGAGCCTTTCCCTGTGAGTTTATTATTTAGAAAGAGGAAGGGGGAGCGGTTCATTAATCAGAAAAATAAGCTCCTTTCCCTCACTAAAGCAGCTCATTTCTGTCTTATTTTGAAAAGCCTCTTTGAGATTTGCTTGCAGGTGTCTGCATGGCCTTGGTCCTGGACCCTCTTCTTCAGAGAGAAACAGTTAGGATATAGATCACCTGGAGAGTTAGGCATAAACTTTACTGGTTTCATTGAATCCTAGAATGTTCTAGCCAGAAGGAACATTGGAGATCACATAATCCAGCCCTCTTGTTTTTCAAACAACTAAAGCCCAGAGACTTTAAGCAACTTGCTTCAAGGTCACAGACCCAGTTAGTGACTCAATTAGAATTTGAATTCTGGTCTCTCTGGCTGGCCCCTGGTCCTGTGCTTTTTTAGTAGTCCTATGCTCTTTCAGCAGTTAAGTCAATGATTTTGAAACAAACAATCTCTCAACTCAGTGGTATTCTTCTGCACCAGGGGTTTACTCCAGTGGTTGCCCGGCTACTGCTATTATATCTGGATAAAGAATCCCACCAAGCTCCCTAAATTCCCATGAGCCGGTAAGCTGTTAAAGAGAACAGCTGAAAGGCGAGCTTCTTGGCTAATTTAGATAGGAAGAGCCTTGGGAGTAGATGAGAAACAGGGTGGACTTTGGGAAGGACTCCTGAGCTGATCTGAAAAGTGAGGACCAACTTTCAAAGTTGCCACAGTTCCCATAAAAATGAGGTAGATGATCAGAGCTGCTGTCCTCTTTTGTGAGTCTCTTAACTTTGATAATAGTTAGGGGCAGGTGGTGGTGGTTAGATTGTGAGGGGGGAAATACCTGAAGGGGAAAGTAAAACCCTATGAAACAAGCAAAAGGAATGTAAGCCATATTCCCAGATTTCTCTAGGCTCAACAAGAAACTTTCATGTCAGTCTTTTAATAAAAAGAACTTAATACTGTGGGTTCAGCATGAATACCTACTGTAGAACGGACTGGCACACAGGTTTGTGTACCTTCCACTTCCACAATTTAAAGATACTAAATTCTCAATGGAATCATCTCAGGAACAAGATAACTTGGCATTATCCTCAGAATAAAAAGAGAGATGAGAAGGACTCCAAACCAGTTTGAATGCAGTAAGCAACTTATGATACCAATGATACCAATTCTCCTTACTTTAAAAGTTCTAAGTAGCTTTAACTTCTTACTCCATAAATATCTATGGCTAAATCCATGATCCTATGAACATGATGATAGGACTAGATGCATCCCAAATTAAGCCATGCTTTGTTTTTGTTTTTGTTTTTGTTGTTAAGTGAAGAATGGAAATCAAGGACTTTCAAACCTATCAGTACAAGTGATTTGACTTTTCAAAAACAGATGGGAAAAGATACCAGCTCAAGTGTGGATTAGAGTTGTAAAAGTCAGGCAGGCAGGAGTGTGGTTGATTTTGTTTTGTTTTGTTTTTTTGTTTTAGAATATCCCATCCTGGAGACAAAAGTTTTGGGTTCCTTTGTTATATCTCTCAACTTCAATGGGACACATTTTTAGCTGATCAGCAGGGACAGAACTTTTCTAGGAGTAATGCTAGGGAATCCTCATAACTCCTCTTGCTCTATCAGTTTAGCACATAGATTTCCCACCCAGAGGAATGACTATTAACTCCACTATTAAGAGCACAGGTAGCGTTGCAAAAAGCTCCAGAGTGATTTCTTTCCCATTTATTCTCCCTGCCCCTCTCCCTACCTCCCCACCCAACACATATTGTTTATTGTTCCTTCATTCTCTCATCTTCAGGTTCACCTCATCCGTTGCTCAGTTAGGCAAGTGTTTAAAACACACCGTAGGCAAATAAGCATGTGTAAATATATATACATACAAATGTATATATTGAAGAGCATGCATTTTATGTATATATGTATGTGTATATAAGGAAGAGAGCTGTTTATGTACATACATGTGAATCTATACATCTAAATGTATCTTAAACAGAACATTTCCTTATTTCCATTTGATACTATCCCCCCAGATCT